TTTAAAAAACAGATTGAACACAATCTGTAATGATTTAATGTATCCATCAAAATCTAAAAATAGATAATACATACAAAAGAATTTTATTTTTCAAAGTACTTTTAAAATAAATAATCAAGGACTTCACACACTACTGTAATCATTTTCATTAATGTAATTTGTAATTTTCTGTATATAAATATTGATCATTTAATAGAAATCTTTCTGAAATGAATTAAAAATATCTCTGCCTTATTAAAAGGCATGTAGGTGACAATATTTAACATTTTCTTATGGACTGTTATTATTATGAACATCACATATGTAGAACTTGGAGGTTTCTGATTCTCTGATATTATCATGTCTAATGATATTTCCACTTTTATCCTGTGATGAATCCCTTCCTTTCTAGTCTACATACATATGTGACCCAGAAATAACTAAATGGTGATTCAAAAATTGGGTACTCATAGTGGCTCTATCATCTTACCAGTTTTCCTATGAGAATATTTTTATCCAGAAAAGTACTTGTAAGCACCTAGCACAAAGTTCCAACCTATAAAGTATTTATTTCATGTTTTTCTAAAATAAGTAAGTACATGAAGATAGCAAGCAAATAAATAAGTAACTTTGGGTGATAGACACAGTGGTAGAATAAAACTGTGAAACGTCAGCAGGACAAAATCTTCCAGGGAACTACAAGAAGTGAGCATTTTGTAACTACAGATTTTGCATGCAGAGGAAATAACATTTTCTATAACTAGAGCATATCTAATAATATAACTGAATTAACTGAGAGAAAACTTATCAAATGTATATTGGAAGCACACCTGAACACATGGTACATTCTAAAAGTGCCCATTATATTGACTTTCAGCATCTTTAAGCATTTTCATTACTTCTTAACTACAAATCAGAATGAGATTTTTGCAAAGGCCAATCAAAGGAGGCACGCAGTCAGAGTAGTCAATTTTGACACTGTCATCAGTTTTTATGTGAAATGTACTTGTATATTTCTAGATTTTTTTTGCTTTTTATTTCCTTGCTTGTATTTTACTGTTAGCTACTCCCCATGAATGATAATGGTTTCATTAAGGTAAACAAGAAATTCCTCCAAGGGTTCCTGCTGGTTCTGCAACATCCTGAACCAGTGTTTTACCTCCACTAACATTTTTTTAAAAATACTACCTCATATTTCTGCAAAAAAGACAACTATCAAAACATAGAAACTTATTCTACATCTCTTTAAAAGTCGTCTTGCCATTGGAATGACAATAAGTTATTTCAGTGCTTCTGCTACTAATTTAGCGTTTGGGGCAAATTAACTAGTGGGCAAACATTCAATTTGGTGGCTAATGAGAAATCAGCTTTAAAGCAACTCCTGAAGGAAAACTTAAAAAAGAACAACCAAATTTTTGTTTTTGGGCTTTCTCTTCTCATGGCATAACAACAATATTCACTTAATATCCCATTCAACCTAATATCTGTATTCTATAACCTCCACAAATTTCACAGGAAACAAGTACTTAATTTTAAATTAAGAGATTCCTTTAACTTGCTCTGTTTTTTCTGTTTTCTATGGCATTTTTAATGTGTTCGTATTCTAGATGATTTATTCATTTAATTTACTTATTTGATATTATTTGTCTATACACACACACAAATGAAGGCAAGAACCATGTTCACTAACGTATCCAAGCATCTTGGCATATTACAGATGCTCAATATATATTTGTTGAATGAATAAATGAATTAAGCAAGTAATCAAAATTTCTTGCCATTTTTCATTTCAAAGTGAAATTACATAGAGCATCACAAGTTATTAATTTCTCGAAACCTCTATATTATGTAAATGTGAGTTCACAATTTAAAGGATCGAATATCTAGATGATCATATAAGTCCATGTAGGCACAACCTATATAAAGGATTTTTCCTAGGTCTTAGCTAAATATGCAAAATAAATCTGATATACTTATATGGAAACATCCACATCTTGAAGATGTTTATTTTATTATCTTAATTTAACCTAGGCAAGAGTAGTGGAAATTATTGAAATCTCAACAATACAATTGAGGGAGACATATGTTATGGGAATGTGGTAGTTTTAGGTCTAGTATTAGTGTCAGGCGAAAAGTTGCTCATTCTCAATACACTATCTGACTCAGGAGCTAACAAGGCGAGGAAATTATTTTAAAAGGGAAGATGAAACCTGAGACCCATTGCATGTCTCCAACCCAAATGAGACTCTTCGGTTGGTCTCCTATTTTAGCAGATTTTCATGGCTTCGCTTTTTAAAATGAACTTAGTTCAATACATTTAACCAAAATCTCCTTGGGTTTCTATAGATGTATCCCTATTTATAGCTCCAAATGCTGGCGTGTTCAGATTTTCAAATGCTGAAGAACTATATCTTATCAAAAAGCAATAAAAATTCATTGAAAAGTACTTAAACATACAAGTTTTGAGACTCTATCTTTAAGGACTTTGAAAAAGAACACAGAAATAATATGAAGAAATAGTTTCAATCTGGATTTATTTTAATCTGCTTATTTCATATGAGAATAAGTAATCTTGCTATATCTGCTTATATTAAATGGTGCAAAACAATCGGCCAGCATGATTGTGAGCATATGCAAATAAGAATACCTGCTGAAAAATTACAAATGGGTTATGAGTCAAGAGCTAAGTATGGTGAGGGAAGGAACAAACAAATAAAACAAATAAAAATCCCACACCCAAGAAAACACAAATAGGCCGGATGTGGCAGCTCATGCCTGTAATCCCAGCACTTTGGTAGGCTGAAGTGAGAAGATCTCTTCAGCTGAGGATTTTGAGACCAGCCTGGGTAACACAGTGAGACCTCATCTCTACTAAAAATAATGATATTAAAATTAGTGGGACATGGTGGTGTGCACCTGTAGTGTGAGCTATTCGGGAGGCTGAGGTGGGAGGATTGCTTGAGCCTAGGGAGTTTGAGCCTACAGTGAGTAAGACCCTGTCTCAAAAAGTAAGAAAAAAAAAAAGTAAACACAAATAAAGATGAAGTAATGTTTACTTATCAGAGGTTATATTCTGTAATGTCAGCCCTGTACTGAGAATATCTCATTCTCAATTTCCTCCTCTACATGAGAAATTTCCATTAGATAAAATGATTTCAGTTTAAAAGGAAAAGGGGTGTCCCATTTTACAAGGTTCAGTATGTAAAACAAAGCAACAGGAAAAGCGTGCAGGGCACCAGAGTTTGACCTGTTTACCACTCTGACTCTCGTTCCTACCACCCCATATGCCTCTTAATAACTGTCATTAAAACCTTTAGATACATTTTGCAAGTTTCTGGAAGGAATGAAATGAATAGACTGCTCTAATTCTGAACATTTTTATTCTCTATGAGATGCCACAGTATAGCTATTGATCATCAATTTAAGGTTTATTCTCTTTCTTCATACCATATATAATTTTCTTATCATTCTTGTGAATGTAATACTTTCAGGGTATATATCAGACATAAAGAACAGCAATTTTGTACTTAACTTTCTCAAAGATAGATATCATACTTCAAGATAATAAGTCAGAAAAGTATTGCATTTTCACAACTTAGCAGTCAAAGCATATTTGCTTGTAACTTTTAAAACAGAAAATAAAAGAGACCGAATAAAAACTTCTCTGTCATTGGCTTGATATGTAATTCTAAGAGTTCATTTAGTTTTAAATTCTCATTTTAATATGAAATCAAGTGGTCAATGAGTATTATATTCTTTCTAATGTATCTTTAGCAAATTTTTTAAATGAATCTTAACTAACATTCAGAATAAACTTGAGATTCAAAATACTTCTCACGAGCATTCTCTAATCAAAGGAAGTTTACTTGGTGTTCTTATATTAACACCAAAAACAGGAGGTGGTTAAGAAATGGGGCTAGAATGACAATAAGCATAAATATAAAATTGTTAAACAATTGGAAAATCTTCTATCTACCTGCAGTAACACACAGAATTTAGCTGTGTATACTGCCACCTATTATTCACTGAAATATAACACAGTCTTCTTAGATAAAAGAACATTCACAAATATTCCTGAATGCAATGAAATTCTGCATGGACAGTGTGAACATCAACAATTTAAGACAAAAGCACCATATCAAATAGAGGTCCTTAAATATCATGGCATTTATCTTTCTAATTAATTTTTAAAATTAAATAAAACTTTAAGATTTATTACATTTATGCTTTTATCATGTAAAATTCTTCTTTGCATACAACAGATCTGATTTTAAAACAGAGAAATAATTAGGAGTTATTGTTATAGTCCTCAACTTAATAATCAGTCAGACCTCAGGCTCCCAAGCATACCCTTATTTTAAACATAAAAACATTCTATCAGTTATGAGAATGTCAGCTAACCCCAAACTAGTAATTTGAAAAAGAAAAAGAAAAAGAAACATTTTTACTTAGAGAAGCATTTGTTTTAAAATTATAAATGAATTTTCCCATCTCAACCTAGCCTATTTCTGATATGTTGTTAAAAAGAATAATGATAAAGATCAGTAGACTTTTAAAATAAACAAACCAGGTGTTCTGGGTTAAATATTTACTCATTGTTTGCCTTTCTAAGATAAACATAATATTATTTTAATTCTAGGAAAAAATATAATTAATCAGACAAGAACCAATATACTAAAACAAATAAAGACATAAAAAGCCTTTAGGAAAATTCCAATGTGAATTGCAATAAGAAATAAATAACTATCAAAAACATCAGTAACTTAGATTTTCAATGAGAATAGAATTTCTCAGTGCTATATATGCATGTTAGAAATAACATACCTCAGGATTCCAAAAAATACTGTCTACTTGGGCCCTGAAAACCAGCTTACAATTTGATATCTTTCCAACTGAAATAAGCCTCCTTCCAGAGTGTCTTGAATTTTAACACCAAAAATCGAGTTTTAAAAAATCCTCTTAATGAGGAATATCAATCCTACTTACCCACTCTTTCTACTCCAATGTCAAGAGAGACTTACATTTTAATAATAGACATGTCCAAAATTGTTGGACAAGCCTCAAGCCTCAGTTTCCCCTTCCAGCATCTTCATCTGTTGCTACTATCAGTGGTTTCACATGATTAGGCTACCTAGGTGTATCTCCCAAAAGAAGGTCACTTTCCATTTAGTGTCTTGCATCATGGAAAGAACTTCCCATTTCTGCTGTCCTTCAGAAACTTCTGTTTTGTTTTGCTTTGTTTTGTTTTTTGCCTTAGGGAGTAGACCTGAAAGGTACAATGTTAAGCTCGGTTTTAAAACACATATCTGAGTTATATAAACATTCAGTACTCTGTAGATTTAGTTATCTCATAGTTTTATATTTTTAGTGAATGCTTAAACTCATCTGGAATTCATATTTGTATATTGTATAAAACGAAAAAACTAAACTTTCCTTTTCACAACCGTTGTGAAAGTTCTCCATTTTAATCCAAGTATACTCCATGTGTAGTGTCATCTGATTCTGTGTGATAATGTCTGTTTCACAGATCTGTTTCTACTTTATTATGACAAAAACAAAGGTCTAACTACAATGCCATTTTTCCCTCGTGTGTGAGCACACGTGTTCACGTGCATGTGCTTTACATTTCCACTTAAATTCTTGCATTCTGGACAACCATCCTCTGCTTTATTAGCTGGCCAAAATACAGAGTTAAGTATTTACAAATTCCATAATATCTAAATGACAAACATTATGAGTGTGTCAGTTATGGAATAAAGAAGACTGGGGCTAGCCATCAACCCAAGAGAAGAAAAAATATATAGACTATGGTGACCAACATAACATATTTGAATTGAAATATCTTCATTTCAGGGGGTTGAAGAGCAGAGAAATTAGAAGCTAAACAGTGTCCCCTCTGGCTTGAAAATCAAGATGTTTTGAAGCTAACAGGTCAATCAACCTTTCTTTTTAACTTAGCCCTGCAACATACTTCAAAATTAAAGTACCTCCTGATTCTACCTAGGGCAGCAAATGTTTTTCTGTCTAAGCCATTTCTTTTCTTAACATCTAACATTCTCATCTCAGGGGTTTCCTATTAGTATGACATCATGACTTTATAAAATAAACAAAACAATTCAGAATACTGGCCATTGTACTTACTTTATACATATTTATATATTCAATATAGTATTATGAAATGAGAAGAACATCCAATAACAAAAGAAAATCATAAGAAGAGATATCACGTTTGAGTAGCGGCAGTTTGGAGAAATGCACTGTGTTAATTGGGAGACATCAAGTATTGTAACAGACTTGTGATTAGGTATGGTAAATTTTTCATTTTAGGTAAGTTTTTTAAAAAATAACTAATTTTAAAAGACTTGTTACAAATACGGATTATTAAAAACATAGCTTGTGATATTGAGTATAATATCTTAGGAATATATTTTAAAATTTAAAACAAAGTTAAAAAGTCAAGCATTCATTCATCCAGTCAGCACAACTTCATTAAGTACTAGTTATACAGCCAACAAATCCGTCCAAAACTGTGAACAACTGAATGATTGTCAGGTTCCTTGGGCTTAAACAATACTTTTACCGCTTGTATTGTCCACCAAAATGTAAATATGTTATTGTTAAATTAGATACTTGGTTAGGTAGTCTGACTAGGTATGGTTAAAAAAAAAGTCTTGAGAAAGTCAGCAATCAGCACTTTGCTATTAAATTAAACCAGCAGCCAAGGTTCTCAAATATATATGCTAATGAACAAGCAACAATATTAGGCTTTATCATAACTCTAAGACTGAACATTGGCTATTAGCCCAAGACATACCAAAAGCATTTCTCAGGTGTGAATGCTGAATAAGGATCTCATGCATTTCTATTGACATCAAATTGGCCAAGTTTCTGGTGGAGATGGGGAAAACATAAATCAAGTGAAACAAAATTGAGGACTGCTGGAATTATGCATTTAAGCAAGTAGGTCCAAATTCAGAATATTGGCCCATAATTTAAAACATTCATTTGCTGTTTCTATGATCTTTATAGAAAAGTATTTTACTATCCCTGCCTTCATTTCTTTACTGTTCAAATCCCTCTAACCCTCTCCAGATATTTCTTTCTACCAATCTGCCCTACTGTTGCCCTTAAAATCATAACAAAAGCTGTCCTTCTCTAGAAATCTTTGCTTGATTTATTTTATTCAAGTATTTTCTTTTTTCTCCATGTCTTTAGTACTCATAGGCATTATATGTTTTAATATTTTTCATACTGTTAAGGAAGTTATTTAAACATACATATATATATCTATATATATATATATACACACACACACACATTCCTTTATCAAATTGATTACAAAATCAAGGAATATGAAATCCTTGAGAAACATGTATCATAATTTCCATTTATTTTCCATTCTCTCACTATTCCTATGGCTAGGCTCCAATGCAGCACCAATGCATGTTTTTGAGAGATTTTGCTTCTCAAATTGTAATAATTGCTAAAGAAAACATTAACAAAAGCAATCATAGGTGGAAAGTAGCAAGGAGGAGAATGCTGAAAAGAAAGTTCAAATACAATTGAGGCTTAAGGCTCAGAATTGAATATTCTAATGATTTCATTTTATTTTAGGAGGTTTATTTTTCACCAATTTGTTTTTAATTTTGAGAATTTTAGCACTCATTGGCATGAATAGAGTAGAAGGTATTAAGATGTTACACTAAAGAATTGGAAAAAAACTAAATGACTATCAAATTAGAGCCCTTTAATGATAAAACTTTAACAAATATTTAAATAAGAAAACTTTTAAAATAAATGAGCTATCTGGTTATCAAAATACTTTTTATAATATATCCACCTATCAGTTTTATTATATAAATTTTAACTTACAGAAAATGTAAGTTTATCTAAAAGAAAGCAAATAAAATTGCTATATGATTATAGGAAAAGCTTACAGTTGACTTTTACATTTTTGAAGCTTAACTAAAATTTAGTTAATTGTCTTCTTCATTTATCATTTGCATCTATTTTTCAAAATCATATTGCAATTTCCTTCAAAATAGGGACATGGTAAATTTTTGGTACCTGCTTAGTAAATAATACATATTTGATTAAGGAAATAAAACCCCAAGAAAAATTTTCAACAAGTATCTATTTATAGACTACCTCATTCAAAACATCTTACCATACAAATAGTGAACATTTACTGAGAATCAACTATAGAATAAGAATTTTATCTATAACATTTCAGTTGAAGCTTCAAAATAACAAGGTCAATATATCATCATAGTTTAATAAATGTTTCAGATGTTTGACATACTTAATAGAGCTTCAAAGTAATTTGTCCAAGTTCAAATATTTCAAAAAGCAAGAATATGAACCCAAATTTGGTTTAATTCTCAAGGTTATGTTCTTCACAAATTTACCGTATCATCTACTGTCATAGTTGGGTACTGTCAGAAATGAGTAAAAGTGATGTACAACCTACCCTATAGAGTCCACATTACATATACTCTGAATTACTGATTATATTTCTAAACTAAACATAATCTTTTTTCTTCTGTCAGTTCTTAGAGCAAAATATTAATACAAATTCTACTTACAGTAGTAAATATGCTCCCGCAATCATCTTTGTTTGATTATGTCTTTAGAAATTTAAAGATACTTTTAAGTTCTTATCCATTTTTCTCCTTGCAGGAATAAATTTAATTGTTTAATTTTGAAAAATGTATAATTAAAGCCATTTTTAAGCAACACTGAAGAAGAAATTAGCATGAAGTGATACTTGAAATTCATTTAACGAAACACATATCCCCTTTTAAAGATGGATTCAGAAATGTGTACTAAATAAACACCAATATCTGCACCATGTAAACTGGGTACATTTCTTGATTTTTCTTTGCTTTCAATCTCTGATGAGTTAAGAGAACATGATATACTTTTGGGATCATTGATCAGCGTTCTTTAGGAATGAATGAAGCACAGGTGCCTTTCTTTTGAACCTGTTTCATCAGTTTTCTTGTTCCTAAGTTAAAATCCATGATTTCCACATTGGGTACTTCTGCACAAGAAAGAGATGGCTGTGTATAATATCACTCTCTTGTAAGAAAACATATTCAAGCTTTGTTTCATTGATAAAAATTCTTAAAATAAAGAAAACCCTCAAACATGTTTATGGATTCCTCCATCACCCAACTCAGTGTTGTACTAGCCAATTTGACTAGGATAAAATCAGCATTTCTGTCTGTCCAAAATCTTGATTAACTCTACTTCTAAGTTAATTTGAGTTTTTTGTTTGTTTTACCGCCTAAGTAAATTAAATTCAGATAGACTGAAGAAAGCCCATGGGTAATAAAATGAGCCTGTATAAGCAGCAAAAGATCTGGATTTGAATTCTGTAATAATCTGGTGAGTTACTTAAAATTCTGAACATCTTATTAGCCTTAATTATAATGTTGGGATAATGAAACCTATATAGATGGGGAATATCAAAATATAAGTTACGTAATAATTCTAGGTACACATTAATCTGTTTAAAAACCATTAGTAACTTTCACCTAAAAAGAATAGATGAAATTTGCAATAAAATAGAACAATAAAGTACAGCATTTGCGAAGCCCACTTAAATAAGATATCATGGAAATAAAGTTTCTTATACAGTTATACTAACCACACAGGGAAACTAAGAGAAATATTTTTTTAATTGAATTATCTGTTTTACTGTTTGTTCTGATTTACTATGTTAATTCTAATGTAATTCTAATTATTAATGTAATTCTCAAGCTGTGTTATATTCTTTTGATAATGTCTTTCTCCAATAATTCTTTAAAACTCTTCAGAATATAGTTCTATGATTTGCAACCCTAATCACAATTTGAGTAATCTTATTCTGTATTTTTAAAATCAAGGGGTTTCTTTTTAAGAAAATCGTTTACACTTCCCAGACAAACAGTAATACATTCTGGTTTTGTATCACTATCAAATAAGAAGTAAAACCATTGGGTAAGGAAAAAAAACAATTTTTTCTTGACAACTTCTCTCTTACTCATATAAACTCAATTGGGACTCACAACTAATTTTTCAAATTGTTATATATTGACCTCCATATTTGAAGCTTCATTTTTCTGCCTCTGGGCCACATCAGTAAAACCCACACATCTCCCCATTAAGCAAAGCAGCTGGCTTTTTAAATGTGATACCTTATAATTCTTCTTTACAATCCTAATCACATCATTGATTTCAGTAAAAGTAGTTATTAATGCTGTCAAAAGCAGAAACAGGGATTCAATGACTTTTTTTCTGTTCTTCCTTTTTTTATAAACTTGGATAATTAAGATTAAGCCTAATAATGTGACTTTAGAGGCCTCTGGGTGATTAGCAGTTTCCTGTGGTTGAGGATGAAACACAGCACAGATACCGCCTTCACTTAAAATTCAACATACCTCCCAAAAAACAGCCACTTATACAAACCACAAATGGTTAAATAAAAATGTTAGGCATAGTCAATAATCATAACACAAAGGAAACTAGATTTTTGTGTTTTTCAGACTCAAAACACAAACAGCACATAAAATTTTATTTGATTGATTTTTTTTTCTGTAATTTAAGACAACCCATAGGGTAAATTTTGTCTATTAAGGCTAGAAAACTAAGGTGCCTGACCTTTTTGCTAGCCCAGGTATGTTTCCAATGCTGTAAAGAAAAAAACAATGATCTGAAAAAGACAAGATGAAACAAATATGAAGACATTAATAAACATTTTGGAGAAATAAGATTTTTTAATATCCAAAGCAATGAAAGAAAAGGGTAAGAAGAGATAATGTATTTTGATTTTTAGGAAAAGAAGTCATGAGGCAATAAAGACTGTCATTTTGAATGAGATCTATTTATTTGCATTCTGAAGGATGGTATGGAACAAACAGAAGTTTGCAAAGGACTATTTACTATCAAAAGACACAATATGCGAAGAATCTGACAAGAATGCATGTTCAATGTTTGTCATCAACCCACCTCCCCAAAACCCAAAGAAAATATATGCATATATATGTATATGTACACACACACACACACACACACACACACCCTTGGAATCAGCATCACAAACCAGTGCCCAATTGAAAAACATTCCCGGACCTCTTATTGATCAATTTCCCTTATAGAAAGAAGAAGAGTATAGTATCTGAACTGAAACATTATTATTAGAAAATGATATTGTGAGCATTAGGATGTATAATTCATGTTGCTTTCATTTGCTTGGACCATTGTAAAAATCCATAAATCATTTTTTGTTCATGTATTGCTTAAGTGCAATTTGTCATTTTGCATTAGAGGGTGGCTTCAGCTCATTCAGTGCTTTTAATTCACTGTTTAGAGTTTAACAAAATGCTGGCCCTGTTTGATAACTGAAAAGGCACTGAAATGTGAAGCCACACCAATATTAACTAGGTTAAAGAAAATGGAGAAGCACATTTCTGCTTTAAATATCAAGGTAATGGTGCTTGATGGCATATCTAGTATTTTCAGTCCCAAGAACAAGGATTGGAGTGTTCTCTAAGGGGTTTGAAGGATTAAAACACAGTAACTAAAGAGTTACCTAAATACTTAAAATAGCATATGCTATGAATCTTTTCCAGAAATTCTAGTCAACATTCACTTTTTCCTATAGATGAGCAAAAACTAACACAATGTCTGTGGCTTTGGCTCTAAAGCCTTGCCTTCCCACCTCTTAAGTTAGGTTACACTACCACAGATAAACCTATTTCATGCTTACCCATAAAAGATGCAATGCACTTTAGGCCTTTTGTATTTGCTCTCTGTGCTGTGCTTGCTGGGAATGACAAGTGCCAGGAACAACCATCTAGTTCAATCCTGGTGGAGCCTGGTTATTGATAAATTAATTTTTTCTTCCAATTCTAAAAAAAAAAAAAAAAAAAAAAAAACTTCCTTCAAAGCTCTAGGCACACAGCAATAATAAGAGGATTTAGAAACAAATTGCTTTCGAGTCATGTTAAATCACTGCAAACACTCGTTTATCCAAAGGCTGGTTAACAAACTTGTTTCTGCCCCACCCTTTGCGGCAAAGGGCAGAGAAGAAAGCAACCCCTTAACCCAGTTTCAAAGTTTGTAAAACACACCTGTGGGATCCTTAGCGCCCCCCTATTTCTGCTACACTTAAAGCCCAATGAAATAAAAAATATGCACTATCACTGTAATATATAAACCAGGACTTTTATGAAAATTGATTTTGATAACCTCCCTCCAAATAATAAAACTGCTTTTCCCCTGTTTCTTAGGGTGTCGTTTGTCCTGGCTCAAACAGTTTGTACTTCTGGAGGGTAGACGGGGGAGGGTGAAGAATGGAGGGTTATGTACACTAGATTTCCTCCTCCTTTTCCGTTCCAGTAATGGGGGGATTCAGGAACACAGAATATACATGACACTTTAAAGACGTAGTCAGCTTCATTACTGAGGCTGCCGTATATGTAAGAATCACCTCACTAAATTCTGGGGTCCACGGGAGTAAAAATGAAAAAGAAAAATGCAGGGATCTGCTTGATTGACACAGCAAAGGAAAAAGTAAACCTGTTACATTTAAGAGGCATTTTAAAAGGCAAATTTAAAGTGTTGTTTTGTTTTCTGGGTGACGGGGTGCGATTGTTTTAATGGCTCTAGGGAAGGAGACACAGAACGCTATTAATGACAATATTTGATCTTGGCTCCAAACAAAATGCTCTTGGAATTGCCCTTGGCTGGAGCAATCTAACGGGAGGCGGAGGACGAGGCTCTGTTCCGTTCTGCCGGGAAGAAGACCCCACAGTCGCCCCGTCGGTCCCTGGCTGGCGCCACCGAGACTAGAAGTCGGAGAGGCGAGACCTCTAGGGGGTCTGGGCTCAGCGATGCTGGTGCGGACACAGACCCTTGTGACCCAAGAAATCCCATAGAGCCCCCAAAAGGCGAGCTCTGCCGAACAAGGGCTCCAAAGCAAAAATTCTCTGGCCTGCCCTATGCTGATTTCGCCACTAGGAGACGCCTGTAACCCACGTTTGCGGAGACAGTTCCATTCAAACACATTTGCCACCAAAAAAAAAAAAAAAAAAAAAAAAAAAAAAAAAAAAAAAAAACCAA